GTTAAATTTTCTTCATACCAACACTTTTGTCTCAATATGTACCTACAGAAACTATTGAGCGTATTGTTGTTTCATCCGTAATAAATTCCTTGTTTCATTGTGGGTAGGTTCCACTTCACCCATCAGTACGTTGGCTGTGCATGGCACTTCTGTGTTCACCAACCGAAGGGCTGAACGCCTTACCTCTGTCGATAGCAACAGCCTTCTTGCGTTTAACCACTATATTCTGCTAAATCATTGAAGTGATGTTGTTTGAAAAATGGGCCGGCCACTCTCGGAAACTTGAACTGTGAATGGACAGATTCTGAATTAATTAATGCGCCCCTAGAAAAACTACATGTGCTAACAAATGCGGGAGCATTGGGAAAAACGCTAAACAATATGTACGATGCTGTATTCGACTCAACTACAAAGATGGACAGGAGACCACGGGATGTCTTGCTAGCTGGTTGGAAAAACGAAGCTTTTGCTCCCTATGCTAGTCAGGACACAGGAGAATACAAAACAGTTAACTTAACTGAGTCAGATAGCATAAAAGGGGAGCCGCCCCGCGGTCTATAAAAATGGCGCTCTCGTCCAAGTATCAGCTCTAGTTTTGTCTACGCCGACTTATCCAAAACAACGGTCCAAGTTGACTTTATCTGCCACCCCAGTTACTATAAGCCCGCTATGGAGAAAGCGATTCCCAATACCTCATTTTTTCTTGTCAGTTGAAGGAGACCGAGATTGTCGCCAAGGGTTAGTTAATTCAACGTTTGCTGTGTTTCACCTTAATTCTCCCCTCCGATACACCATTGACCCGAGTATCCTTCTCTTAGCACGGCAGTTGCCTTTGTTGGCACCAGCAAAAGTTGGCAGCATAGAAACGTCAATTAAGCGTTTACTTCGCTCTTCCCCTGCTAACGACACAATCAAAATCAACAAAGCACCAAACATCACCAGAATTAGCTCTGAAGAGCAGCTGTCCCAAAATCCGCTCCCAAACTCGGCAACAGATAGTCTACACAATGGTTTAGTTGCCAATTCATTTAGTGAAACACACAGTATAAAAAGAACTCATTCAGGTTAAACCGCCTTCATCATCCCTTGGGCTACCAGCATTCATGATTCAATAAGCCCTAGCAACCAGAAGAGGTGGTGTAAGACCAACTAACAATTTCACACCCTTGTGCACAAACGTTGAAACTCTGTTACCAGAACGGAGAGCGGGGAATAGTGGTAAACGTACAGTTCAATTCCACTGGCTTTTTTCCTCTCCGGCGAAACACATTAGATTCACTCGTCTGTCCGTTGATTCGATGACGGTATCAGACATAGTATATCACTGTGGATCATTATAAGCCGCCTGGAGGGCAAAGCTAACAAGTCACAAAGTATGGATTTGTCAATTTGATTGTAATGTTGTTTCACACAATCTTCTCTCATCCAAGTTGCATCTGTAATTGAAAGTCAACTGCTTTTCCCGCATACATCGCATGCACTCTCTATACGCACTGTTTCACTAAAAACTTGGTTGCATACACACGCGTAAAGTGGTCATTAGTTCAGGCGAAATCCTTAGTTACACGGGATTGCTGGGCACTTGGTGTGACCAAGTGGAAACGCTTTTGAACTAGCCCCATAGTCACAATGAATACATCCCGTAGTAGATGTCCAAAAAACATTTAAAAAGTGAGTTTTGCCTATTGACTTGATTTGACTGGGCAGTAACAAATAAGTGATAAATGGGGATCGATGTTTTTGCGTCCACTGTCATCCTGCTACTTTGTAAACACTTATGTTGCAAAGAGCCGGAAAAGTTGGTAAAATTACCTATCAGACAATGAACATGATCATACAGTACGCGTCGGTACCACCAGCCTGGCAGCTATGGCTTAAGCACTACCTTACTCTACTGGAGCAACCTCAAGGTTGGACTTCTAAATACGTCATTGAAATGTGGCACCTTCTATACGAGCAGAGGCTGAAACGTTTGGGCGTAGTCAGCGGGCGATATCGCCAAATACGCAGTGACTTGATTATGGCGCGCTTGATTGTACACAATTCCAATCATGTGTGTCGCTTTTTACTGCAACTCAGCAGTAACACCAAGCCAAGAGACCACACCTTGAAATTAGCAGAACAGTACGGCCGCCTGGAATGCCGTAGAAATTTCTTTTCAATTTGTATGTATCAACCATGAAACCCTCTCCTCGAATCGGTTGTTTCTACACCCATACTAGCCATATTTGTAAGTCAGCTGGAGGACGCACTCCGCCACTTACTTTTTGTTGCTTGACGCCACTCTCGGTCCTATTGCCGGGAAATACCTTGGATTAATATTTTCTTGCCTACTGAAGCTATGGAAGCACTAGGAGTGCAGGGCTACTGTATTACACACGAGATAAGTCCATTCTTTTGACAGTAGAACAACTATCTGCATTTTTTTCCACTAACGTTTTTCCATAACCCACCAGACTACCAGACGGGGCTTGTAAACCAGTACTTGTTAACCCCTATACAAAACGAGAACAAAAGGATATTCGTTTCTAAACCAAGACAAGATCTGAGGCAGCAAACGCACAGTGAAAGAACGATTAAGTTCCAATCGCATAATATTTTCATTCATCTCGGTGGATCCTTTCGACTCATTCCAACCATAGGCTAATCAGTACTAATCCCACGTAATGAGGCCAATCCGCAGACAAATTAGGGTACAGCTAACGGAAACAGCCCCCATGACATAGGTTATGACACGTTGGCGAGTTCGAAGAAAAGTGTTAATCCTTCGCCAGTTCAAACAGAATGTAAGGCAAAGGTTGAGTATGGAAATGATTCGAGAGAGATAGATACGTAGTACTAACAACCATTACAGACTTCATCTGCCTCTCCCTACAGTCAGAGGCGTAGCAAGGAGGAAGGCGAGAGGCAGTCCGCCCCGGGCGGCATGTGACGGTGGGAGGGCGGCATTTTTAGTACCGTCGATTGTTCGATGCCAAATATAAGCGAAAAGAATTTCCAGATAAGCTGACGGTTGATTATTTTAATGTTACTCTGTATGATCAACACATTGGTGCTAATTACAGAAGAGTAGCAGGGGAAGTTGAATGGTATAGGTAGAAATTCGTCACATCTAGTCTCACTCAAACAGCCTCCACACTTCCGGAAAAGTACTGTACGCGCGTTTCATCCTTTCGGGAATCGTCAGCACTGCGCATTCCATCGGACCCTGGAAGGGCTCGAACCCGCAACTCGACTCTTGTCAGTCCGTGCTTGAGACCACTGAGCTAAATGTCCCACCTATGCAAATGTTATTCCCAGCGATCAAGTTACTTGTTCCATTGTGGTCACATTCACCACATTTACCGCAGTGTTTTAAACGATCATCCATTTCATCAAAAGCTAATTCGCACTGACCCAGAGCCAATTGTGTAAAGTTCACGCACTTTTTCTGCCACCTAGCAGGGCGAAAATTGTACCACCGACCCAGGCGGCAAAAGTTGTTGCGACGCCACGTGTACAGTGACTGTTGAGGTATCGCAAATTTGGAACTCCCAAGCTGGCAAGAATTATCTTGGTATGGTAGTATCATTGATACAGTATGCTCAGAAATGTGTTGTGATTGAGTAGATTCGTCACATCCGGACTCAGTCGCATAGTCATCACGCATCCCCACGACATATCTCTGCGTCTGATCACAAGAGTAAATTTATGGATTCGAGCCCAGTGGATTAAGTGAAATCGAGCGGTTGACAAGTTTTAGTGGGACAAAACGTATTCCGGTGCGGTTCCCGTCATTGTCTGATTGAGTCTGACTTTGCGGAATCTTCTCATAAACAGAAATGTCCCCTACTATTCTAGCAATATTTCGTGGGCTTAATACAGTTAGATGGTGCAGCCGTTTTATGCCACAAGCAAATCATGCTGCTCATATCACGGAAAACCCACGTTTTCCAAGCTCTGAGCGCACATACACTAGGTCTACAGCCAAGGAAGTGTGTGCACTGGACCAGCTATTTATTACGCTTCACTAAACATGTAGGGAATTGACACTGTGGTCTGGATACTATGTGACGGATCCCCGTGACGCCGTACCTGGTTCCATACGTTGTAATTGTTGTTCGTCTCATTGTCAGAAAGTTCGTACCATCAACAAGAAGGCTATCCATCCGCTATACACCTTCCGGTGGAGGTTGATTGATTGAACACCAAGCACTTCTGCACGGTGGAAATCATGCAACCCCAAATCTATTCTATCGTTACTCAAGCTTTTTGTCATTTGTGCACCACATAGAGAAAATGCTGCATCTACCAATGGTTCTGCTAAAATGTCCGGAAAAGTGTCTTAACCGCCACCAAAGCACTTTATGTCATAGTAGGGATTTGTGCTACCAAACTTCCCCATCATAGGATCCTCGCATTGGTAAGTGTATGACACGCGTGGACACGAAGTCGTCTGTCCGTTTCACACTGCCCTAGCAGTCTCCCACATAGAATACGGACACGTGTTGCGATCTTCTCAGCCCATACCGAATTCGTTACGGTTCTCCCTCACACAACGATTTCACATACACACACCCACCCACACACACATGGCCGCGTTCACCTTTGCCTTACCCTTTTTGCCCTGGAGACCGATAGCAATGATCGTTTTGGGCATTCTCTCCAATGCGTCCACAGTGTACGCCTGTTCGCTAGTTGCAGCGTATGTTAGGAGCGGATACACGGACATGCCAAACCCCCTCGGATTGCATACCGAATGGGAAGTGTCAGAACCCTCTGACCAGTTGCTATGTCCACGCGATTTACTAGTCACGGCGGCATAGGACCACGACATGGGTCGGCCGCGATTAGAGACAGGTCACAGATGCACCGACACAAACCACAGTGATTTGTGCGACCGTAAAGGGGGCTGGACGGGGTGAAATTAGTGGGCTGGTAGGTAGAGAACAGGGGGCAGAAGTCCGATGGAAAGATGGATGGCATAGCGCGTAAATAGAGGCCAAGATTACATGAGAAATCACACATTGAAGACAACCGCACGCCAGTTACCGTTACCACCAAACGTGCACGCGCAGACGACCTTATCAAATGAATCCAAGCAGCATCTAAAATCATCAAAAGCGGGCACCAAAATCTGTTGTGTTAACAGTTTGCAGAAACAGGACAGAGCCCTGATGTCCATTCCACGAAATGCTTTTCCAGTGATTACTTCATCGCATTTCCTTGGGCCACCACCTCCACCGAATCTGCTATTTCCTCACCTTTGGACTGGATCCGACAATAGACAGCATCAGACGTCTATGCAATCTCTGGCTCACCCGAATAACGCTGATGGGTTCGCGCACAATGCACCTCTCGTGCAAATGCAGCTACCTTGTCTACCGGATAGGCGTAGCACATCAGATCCCATGGTTTCACTTGCACACGTTGCACAGTTACGTGGATCAAATTTATCCCGCTCCACATGGGCCGAAGCAACGGCCAGCACCACTACCACTACAGAAGGAGATCGAGGCTCATGCAGAACAGGCGGGAATAAGAGAGAATTCGGTGACCCAGGTGAGATACGCGCATGTCCCTATCTTTCTGGTGACCAGCTCACCTCGAGAGACTGTAAGAGGCCCAGAAAAGGATATGAGTCTAGCTCGTGCACGGAACAGGACAGTGCGTGTAAGTGTGACCAAAATAACGTTTCAAGCAACCTCGAACAGCCTCATGGTTTGATGAAGTGTTGTGGAACTTTGGATTTACATATTAAACTGAAGTCTTCACGTTCAGGCGCTTCAAAGGACGATATAGCAATGAGGCAGGTTGATTGCTGCAAGAATAATGCCCGATCTTTTGGTGGAAACGACAGTGAATGTTACGATGAGGATGGAGATGAAGAGGATGAAGAAACAGACAACCTGGACACTTGTTTGAAAGTCGGGCAACTAGTCGAATGCGTGGTCTGTGGTGACAAGAGCAGTGGAAAACACTATGGCCAACACACATGTGAAGGATGTAAGAGCTTTTTCAAACGTTCCGTACGACGCAAACTGACGTACACTTGCCGCGGCAATAGACAATGTCCCGTAGACGTCCACCATCGCAATCAATGTCAGTACTGTCGTTTCCAAAAATGTATCAAGGTGGGGATGCGTAAAGAAGGTGAGTTGGTATTACTCGGTTCAATTGCACTGCATCATAAACCCACACCAATCCACAGGAGCTCAGTTGCCTCGCACAAATTTAATTCTTACAGATAGAAATCTGGTTACTGATTGGAAATGATGAGACGATCAGAATCGCTATCATCAGTCCACATATCGTCTTAGCGTAACGTCCATAGCAAATCTCATCATCATCAACCTCATTACGTATTAGCTGAAGGTGAGAAGAATACTTAACTATTATGACGCAATACAAAAAGATAAGATACATGAAAAAAACAGACACCAAACATTATAGAGTACAAAAACTGGTAACCTACTGCTTACTAACGTATTATGCTTCGAGACAAGCATCGTGGTTGGAGGAGGCAACGAAACGGGATGGGGAGGGACAAAAAATACAACACAAGCGCCATTGAGGTCGGCTCCTTGCCATATTAATGAGTGTATCCAACCAGAAGTGTTCGTCGTCCTTCGGTCTCCAGCCCGGCACTCGGACGACCCCAACCATAACGCATCTACTAGTTGTAAGCTAGCAGGTTGATCATGTTCCGTATGGATAGCTGTTTCACGGTGAGTGGTTGCTGCCATTCCCATGGCAATCTGGACATCATAGTACTTTCCATGAACGTGCTCGACTTTTCCTTCACTTACTACATCAACCACCTCGTTGTAATATGAAATATATGCAGTTAAAAGACGAATGTCTAAACAAGGTAGATAAGGTTTGAAAACGGACGAAGCACTTTACACGTCATTTGGTCCATCGTTGTACAAGCTACAAAAGCGCTTTTATTCAATGAACTGAGTGCCTGTGGGTGCAACATTCTGCACTTTGAGTGCAGAATGTTGCACCCAGCTTGGTCCGTAACATAATTTTACTAGGACGAAAAAATACTTCCTCCGTCAGGCTTCGGCATGAATGAAATGGCTTTCGTGGCAGTCTAGATGGCCACTGAATGCACGTTTCCAGACCAGTGCTTATGAGGTTAAGCAGGCACATTAGGTTACCGTGGAGGGATACTCCGACAACCGAACGCGCAGTACCGGAATGAGTCTCCTGTTAAAAACGCTTTTATGGCTCAGATATTGATTGGAAAGTCGGAAGAAAACTGTTGTCTAATAAGCAATGGGCAAAACGATTCATCCGACATGGGGAATCGTAATTTTACGATTCTTAACCTTACACTGGTACCATGGGATCTATGCGACTCCAGCTTTATTTGGACTATGATTTTAGCACACATAACGAGACTGTGCAACCAATTCCAACAGTAGCATTTTACCTACAGAGGGGTGAAAATAAAATATTGTAGTAGAGTGCTGTAATTCTGGTCACATCGCATGTTAATCACCATGGGGTCAGACTAAACTCATGGTACCAAAGATGTGGCTTTGTTCAATAGCGGAGCGCACCAGCATGAACGCACACAGCATATGGGTGACGCGCATTGATCTACTTTAGTTGCGCAAGACAATAAAATGTATGTTGTGGTGGCTCGAATGAAAGGTAAGGGTTAAGAGTAGTGAACAACGCATCGCATGCGCCCTAATGTGGCCCTCTGTCCATGAAGAAGACGCACAAAATAGTCACCACTTTCAAGCCAAGTCAAGTCAAGCTTTGATACACCAATGTGGGAGCATTTGCAGCAATGTAGCATTTCTGATCCAAGCGTGTGCCACTAGCATGGACCAAGGTTTTCGTAGGCAACATTTTGCTTGTTGCTTACATGTTTATGAACAGCAATATCATTCAGTCGCGTCCGAACAATCCGTGGAGACAGTGTGGATGAATTGCTATATGTGGTAGCCATGTACTATGTGACCATAACAGGTGGCTGTTCGCGCCGAAAGAAACAGGTTCATGAGTACATGTGGAAGGTCGATGAAATGCTTTCCACTGACTTCTCATTTGGTGTCGGAATCATTATTCGAGGGACCATAACAGCATTGAAATTTCGTTGATTCAACTGAAAGACTTTCATTCGGAATTTTGGAAGAAGCGACAGCGAAGAAAGGTGACTTCAGTCGGTCGAAGTCTGGCTCATTGAATTAGCCGCGGCGTCAAGCCCCATCAGCACCAGACTTAGCTGACCCTAGCGAATTAATCTGGTGACAATTACTAGAGCCACAAAGTCATTTCATAAAACTCAAGTTTCCATCACACGTTTAGGCTTCTCAAAGAAGCGAGTATACGTCTAACAGATAACTGCTAATTGCACAGACGTCACCAGCCGGCTCCGGCTTCTGTCATAACCACTTTCAGACATGAAACATGACGGCAATGCAACCAGCTGCAGTTGTTACTTTTTATCACCTTGTCTCAAACCGTAATTCACTAGTTAATCATTATTTGACTATCATAATTTATGTACGACAAGCAGGCGATTCAGTCAAAACAATTGCGCGACTACGCGAGGAGCATCACCATGATAGCAACTACTAAATTTCGAAGTTGCCGCCTTGATTACTTCTACGCCAACATTCTGGAGTGATAAGGTGGTTAGTTTGCACGGCTTCCAAAACGAGAATGCGACTGACATTACTACGACAAACTACTCGGTGAGTCGGTTGAAAACCGAATACCCGACCGTCCCACAAAGAAATTCTCGAGATTTCTTCCTCGGTGTAAATACACGGCTGCTTCACCGACTCCTACAATGGGACCGGGAACACAACACTACGTACGCTATATCCTTTTATAGTTACCCTTAATAGGGAATTCGGACGTCAACCGTATCTAAATGCAAACACTCTTAAATAACTGTTCAAGCCTATTGCGGAGTTAGCTAATTAGCAAACATGCTTACGTACTCCCTGGTGAAAACAATGGCCAAGTACATCACCACACACCTAGGGAATTCTGGCCTCTAAACCGCCCTGCCATGAAGGGATTAAACAATACTGCACTCATACAGAAGCACAGTACCTACAGAAAATTGGGAAGCAATCTACTCGGTTTCAGATGTAAGTCACGGGGAGTACAAATGGAGTACAGCTAACACACAACGGCGGTTTATTAAATATTTACTTTCCTCGTCTGAACGCAGTCCCCTTCCACTCTTGTAGCTTCCACCTGCTGACCAAAATTCATGACACGTGGTGCGTGCATCGTTGCTTTCCGCATCATTACTATTGAGCTATTACCGCTGAAACTCAGAGTATTCAGGTATGGGTCATAAAATGAATTTATTTTCTTTTAATTCCAATTACACAAATAACTACATTCATATATTTACCGACAAGTGGTGCACGGTTCCATAAGCGGGAGCGCTCATTTGTACACTGAATAGGTTTCACGGTTTATGGGACGTAAATTCATAAAAGTAAAAGAAGTTTAAATACTAGCATTTCGGATCATGAATATTCCCTCGAGTGCTAGAGCCGGTCATCTAATATGTAGCATGTACCGACATTTGTCTCACAATTTTTTTAGTTTGCAATGCTCACGAGTAGATAATAATAATAGAAAAAGGATAATAGGTTGCACGGACACAGGATGTGGTTTTTTCCTTAATGATGTCGAGTGGACAAGCGGATTGTAAGGAACTAGCTGCCCTTGAGTTAATTATTCCAGCTTCCGTTTAATGGTTCTAGAGATTATTATGAATCAAAGCTTTTTAACACATTTGGTATAGTGAGGAAAGTCTGTAGGGAATTTGAAAATGTGACATGGTTTGCACTCATGCGCATCTGTACGGGTAGTTGCTTCCACAGATCGATGTATCTCACTAAGAAGAAATTCGACCGAGTTTCATGACTTGCAAGCTTTGAGGGTAGCAAGTAGCCGCCATTTCATGTGGGATAGACTACACTCTACAGTAGCTCAAGGGCGGTGCTGTCTGCGTAAATTCGTTTATTACTACTGTTGTTGAAGAGAGAGGTTGCTCTTTTAGGGTCTCAGCCAAAAAAGATACATTTGGAGTTGTCGACAGCGATCATAACTCAGGTTTGAGCACCGCTCCATGACCAGCTTGGCAAATGATCGTTGGACATTTTCCAACATCTCTCTGCCTTTCTCAATTGGCCGTGAATGAGAATACAGTATCCTTCAGTCGGTCCTACTATTATGTTGAAACAACCAAGTCGTGTTTCATGTGGGGAGAAAGCTCTGGTGGTGTATCCGCATGGTTGTCGCCCTGTTGCAACCTGCTAAAGCACGTGATCTGAGGAATTGAAAGAGTTGGAGGACCTAATACCTAAGTCCCGAGCTGAATCAGACGTCGGGATTATGTTTCCGGCAAGTATTATACAGCCTTCCGGAATGCTGCATCTGTACCCAAGTACTTGGGATTTTACTGCGGAAAAGTTCATTAACAAACGTTCACTAGGTATATTTAGTGCCGATAGGTCTTTACAGATGCTTCCAAGGCACCTTTGTAGTTGGTCTGGATAAAATGGGTAGACCAGTTTGACGTCATCTGCAAACAGAAATGTGCTTCCGCGTTTGCTCAGGTAGCATATGTCGTTTACGTAGATTAGGAAAAGTAGTGGTCCTAGCGCACTTCTCCGGAAGAGGCCGCTGGTTATTTGTTTCGGAGTAGAGTACTATTGACCGATTCTAACTACCTGGGTTCCACCGTTTAGGTATGAGTCGTGCCAGTTTAGCAGAGGGCTTCAATACCATATGACTCTAGGACGGAGAGTAGTGGCATGTGTTGCGCGCTGTCGCACGCTTTTCGCATGTCCAACAGAATTATAATGATTGCCATTCTTCTGCCAAGCATAGCCGTAAAATGATTGAATAATTTTAGCTGTCAGGTAACTCAGGAGCGTTTTAAGAGAAAGCCATGTTGTGAAGCGTTCATCAGATCCAGTTTTGTAAGAAATTGGACACCGTTCCTCTTGACTATTCTCTCTAAGGCTTTAGAAGAAGCAGTGGTGTGATTTATAGGGCGGTAGCTTAACAATTCATTTCGCAGACCGCCCGTGTGCTTAGATATTATAGTGGATTGCTTCCATTGAGATGGGAAGCTGCCGGTGATGAAATGAAGTATA